GCAATCAGATGTCTTTTCAATAACAAGTGCTGCTAAAGACATTAAAAAGGAAAGCTTCTCGCCATGAAAGGGACATGTAGTCATGCAATCTCAAACAGCTCTTGCTCTATTGTGCTGTGATGGGAATATTGTTAAGACTTGATTTAATGAATAGCGCCATTCCAGAATTAAAGGGTTTTTTACTTGTACGCAGCCATTACATAAGCTTTAGCTGTGCCACGGGGGATGCATATTGACCAAGCAGAAAGAAAAATTTGTCTCAGGAGAAGCTCTTCAGTGCATACAGGCTTTAGATAAGTATCTGAAAACAAGTATTTGCTAAGCTTGAAGAATTCTTTTGCTGATCTAAATGTTTTCTTAATAGGCCAGAGTGAAACAGCTGTGGCTCCACTGTGGAAAAATGGAGTCACAATGTGGATGTCAGGAGGCAGAGGGATCAGGATTGCTCCCTGAGAAGGTCCAGGCCAGGGCAGCGGGGGACCCCAGTGCCCTCACCCACAGGCACAGTCCCGCAGGCTCTAAACGCAGTACGCAGAGCTGGGGCTCGCAGCAGGATCCAGCGACAGCCCAGTGATTGTCAGGGAAGGCAAAGCACGGTCTATCCTGGAAAACCAGTCAACAAGCCAGGCTCAGCAGGGGACCACCTTGGCACAGGCACAGCTGTGACGTAGCTTAGGGCAGGACTGGGGGCCTGACCTGAGCTGAAATGGGATTTCTGGACCCCAGGGGTAAGGGGGTTCTTATTGAAGCCAGTTTGGGCAATGACATGACAGTGCCTACAAGGCCCTGACAGCTCGGGTGCCAAGCAGCCTCTGCACACCTTTCCTGTGCTCCAAACTGTGATCCCTGTGTAGGGATGGCACAAGAGGGTGTTTGTGGGGGAGAAGGCTGGTGTTTCCAACCTGTGGCTCCTCGTACCTACTTGTGAGGTACCTGCAGCCCTTGGATGGCATAGGTCAGTATGGGGCTGCTGTATTGCTTACCAAAAATCCCACTTGCAGGTCAAGGCAAGATGAACTCTGATTTGGTATGTAACTGGTGCATTATAGGTGATGAATCACAGGATCAGGTCTGGATTCACCTACCTAAAGATGTCTGCGTGTAGGCATAGGTAAATTTTATGACAGGATGTTAGACATAAGGAAAGCAGTACATCACACAGTAACGCTGGAAAGCAGTCTGACTCCCCTGTAGATTAGCCTGTGAGCTTTGATCTCTTTTGTTTACAATCAGACTTCATATAAACAGATGTTTAGACTGTCTGTTTTCTGCTTACACCTGTGTATCACATATGTATAAAGAACTCTGCGTTATATTGCACCTGTAACAAAATGGATCCGAGTCTTACTACATCAGATGCATAATCAGGGTCAAAGTATATTACCAGGCACTAGGACTCTATTGCCTATGCTGTTGAATTGTCAGAATAGAGTCTGACCCAGTTTTGGCCTGGGCACTCTCCCAAGCAGTTCCCAGGGCCAGTTTGGGAGTTAGGACAGGCATTGCCAACAGGCAGTTAGATGGGACCACCCTGTTTGGTAGGGTGAGAGAGTTCAATAGCATCGCAGTGGGTTGTTCCAGGACAGCTGGCCTTGGGGCAAGAGACCAGTGCCAGGCATATTTATTTTACTAGAATAGATGTTGCTTCTGTGTTCTCAGAGGTCCTAAAAGGGTGGCTGAACACTTGCAGAGACCTGGAGACTATGGAGATTAAAGTCATCAGGAGAGAGGCCATCCAGTCGAGTGCATGTTTGCCAGGGCCCAGAGGGGCTTTCTGTATGAATTTATTAGAGCCCATGGCCCCAGCTGTCCTGTCCATGAGGTCTGCCTATTTTGGGTGCTCTCTGTAGTCCAAGCTGAGTGTATTCTGATGCAGGGTAGTGCCTCTATCACTGTCAGAGCCATGTCTGGCCTTGGGCAAGTAACAGTCCCCACATGTGCATGCTGGGACAGTAGGGATCTGCACACCCTGCTTGCACTCTGCTTGCAAGCTGCTGTCTGAAACTAACAGACGTGATGCATTTCCACACCACATTTCTGATTCGGACTTTCAGAAGTGGGTGCTTGGAGCTGCAGGCTCACTGTGTATTTGGACACTTGCAGCATTAGCCTGACTTTAAGAACATCCTGTAGGAAAATCTTCTGGTCTCTCCTTGTGAGAAAACAAGCTTTAACTTATTTCCACCAGACTTTAAAGAAAAACAAAACACAACAGGTAAAATCAGAAACTTAATGCTACACTTCCATTTCAAATCAAAGTAACAGAACCAGATCTGTCAAATTTCAGAAGAAAGAGAAGAGGCCATACACACCTTATGTACTTCTTGGCTTGCTGTTGAGCGACCCTACCCTGTGGAAGTTCATACTAGGTCTATTCAAGGACAGGCTAAATGCCAAGTGGGTAGAGACAGGTGACTTGGGCAGAATTGTACTGCTTTAGACTATATCTGAATATGTTCTTCTTTGGCCAGAGAACACTTTGAACCCCCAAACTGCATTGTGCATGCAGGACAGGGGGCTTTGGTGCAAGAATGTGCCAAACAATTGTTCGCATCACCAAAGTGGCCTTTGTGTGCACTGTATGGGCATCTCTCCACATAATATACAGTAGCGTGCAGTGATGATGTCTTAAATTATAAGTAGTTCTAAAGAAAAGAATATGTGTGATTGTCTGCTTAGGGGGACTTTTTCAGTGATTAACCCAGTATCTTTCTTTATCATCCTCTACTGCTACTTGGGAGAATTTCAAAAGGGCTAATTCCTCCGATAGCCAGCACTTGCTGATTAAAAGCTTAACACATTTAACTTAAAGCTTAACACAAGCAGGATAACAAATTTTTTCCTGCTACGCAATCAATAAAGAATACTTCTGCCGATTGGGATATTGTTTCTAGCTTCCACAGATCTGATAGCAGCAACCCTTACCCAAAGGGGTCAAGAGACATCCTCACCCATTTTACCCACATAGTAGTAACGATCATGAAACAACTCTCCATATTTTCATAAAATATATGGGGAGAAATCAGGTTAAAGGGAACTACAGTTATTGCAAACATAAAGTTGTGCAAATATAGGTAACAGTAAATAGTGGCTATGTAGTCAAGCATCCCAGTCTGCCTGTCCTTGCTAAGGTCTGAAACTACACACACGTTGCTCATATATGTCCTTCCATTCATTCTTGCATTCATTCATTCATGCAAACCCAAGATCCCTCTCACTCTCAAAAACACCTCCTGCTGACAGCATTGCTGCTTATTCATATCAGGCCTTTACTGCTGTCATGCCTCATTTTGGCGATGTAATGAGGCATTAATGCTTATCTTTGATGTGTGAGCTGTGTCAAAATACCCTGTTCTTCTGAGCTCTGAATCCATCAGAATCCACCACAAAAATGTGAACAAAATCACCATTGTTTGAAAAATTGACACAGCCCCACTGATAGAGCATTTCAGTGGGCAGGCAGGAAGCAAGTGTGTGTAGTGCTTAGTGCATCTCAGCCCTTTTAATTGCTTAACCAGTTCCTTCTCCTGTCTCCTTTTGCTTTCTCAGACTCACACCCAACCTCCATCCTCTCTTTTGTTGTCCAAGTCCTCCTATTACCCCACTTACCAGCACTGCAGCACTGCTCTGATTATGTGCCAGACAGCCCCTGCTCTTCATCACAACTCAGAGATGCCAACCAAAGACCTAGATATAGTTTAGACATGGTTTGGGGAAGATGGAGGCCTTTTTGCCAGTAATTCTTTCCTAAGTTTAATGCATCTTTCTTCAGGAAGGCTTTGGTTTAGTGCTGATATCCAAAAATACCCACCACCAAATTAATAGGGGAATGGTAGCCACACAGTTTTTCTAAAGCTATTGCTTCATGGACCAAATCACACAACAGATGACAGCCTAGGCAGTATATTGCAGCATGTCTTTGGTGGATACAAATAACTTGTGGTGGATTTCCTGCAGTATCAGCATGTTACCACAGTTAACACATATAACAGATTTCTAAAATGGCAAGTGACACTGAGGTCTTCAGTTTTGACACTACTGAAACCCTTCAAAGAAATACAATTGACATTGTCTGAAAATTCTTAACACTTGTATGGGGGCTGATTGAGTCCCTGAATTCACAAGTTGCATCTAAAAACTTTGACTGAAAAATCTGTGCATATGTTTCAGTTCTCCCTAAAACAAACAAATGAACGAACAAAAAAGAGACTCATCAGTAGATCCTGGGATAGCAGAAATACTCTTATGTACTGTTTTTATTTTCTGCTTTTTGTATCAGAGTGAATTGGATGACAATCAAATACAGATGGCTGGAGATGATGTGGGTTTGCCAGAAGACCTTCAGAAGATGGTGGCAGAAGATCAGGTGGAGGAAGAGGACAAGGACTCTATCCTGGGACAGCTGCAGAACATCCAGAATATGGACATGGATGCGATCAAAGAAAAGGCACAAGCCACCTTCACCGAAATTAAACAGGCTGCTGAGCAGAAATGTTCTGTGATGTAGAAGAGACACCACTATCCAAGGGTTGTGAATTCAGTCTTGTCTCACAGGGGCTGCAGACAGGCAGAGGAATGCGCTTAGCTCTATAGCATTAAATGTAAATATAGAAAAGTAAGAGAGAGAGAGACTTTAAAACCCGAGGGGGGGGGGTGTCAAAATTCATGTGCTGTGACTGCTTAGTGCAAAGTTAGAACCGACGCTCATTTTTTAACATAACATTTTTCCCCATGGAAAAAAATGGCTTTAAAAAAGCTAATATTGGGGAAAAAATGTGCCTTTTCCCATTTTTTCAAAGTGATCAAAATGCTATTAAATTGTATTTTTTAGCAAAATTGTGTTTCTGATGCATAACATGTAGGTAGGTAACCACTCATTTAATACTGCTTTCAGAAATAAATACATATATTTCTAATAAAAACTTGTCTGTTTCAAACATTTTGAAACAAACCCAGTATGCAAATGTTGACATTTTCTGCAAAACCTTAAAAAAAAAAAAGGTTTTGACCATCTCTGTACTAAATATAGTAAAAGGCAAAAAGTGAAGCATATAACTCTACAGCTTGGGACAAAAATGTCATCATATATAGAACTGAGTGAGGACTTGTAGGAAACCAAGGCTTGGTAGCTATCAGCGAACCATGGTCAGTGAGCAACGCAGACTGCTCCAGGCTGCTTTAATTTCACAGCCTCTAGGTCTTCAAATGCAGTTCAAACGTCAAGTGACAGCAGTGGCCCTCTGCTTGGCTGCTATGTGTGCCAAATGCTGGGGCTTGGGGTACCAGCAAATAACTTGTATAGGGTAAAATGAGTTCACCACATTTATTCTAGGAGTTAGCTCCATACAAGGCTAAACCTTGTATCTGGCTCACCTGAAAGATTATGCCAGGGTAGGGCACCTAAACCCTGAGAAAAACCATGGCTTTCACTAGTGCTAAATCTGATTGAGTCTGTGGGACACACAGGATCCAGTTCAATGGTTTTAGATTCAGGACCAAGCAAGATTTTCTTTGCTGCTGTTCAGAGTTTTTTTCTGGGGAAAACCTAAGCAGGTGCTGACCTGATTGCCTCCCACTCCCCAACAAGCGGAGCTGATGCTGGCTAACAGCTGGAGGAGTGTGGCCCCATACAGAGCAGCTGGCTGGTTGAGGGATGGCTACTCGCTGCAGCCTGCAGTGCTGCCAGGGCCGCTAGCCCAGGAGCCCCAAGCAGCCTGGGCAGGCAATGATGGGGCCAGCACAGGTCACCTCCACCAGCCCTGTGGAGCAGGGTCCTATGGTTAAGGCAGATGGGAGCATCAGTCTGTCTCTCACTTGCATAGCCATAGTAGTTATCATGCATGATAATCCACACAAAAGCTGTACAGCCCTTGCACATGGATGATGTATACAATACTACTCCCGAGGGGCTCAGATATCCTGTAAAATGAAGGACTTTGCCAAGTCCTCCAAGAGCTAGCCTGTGAATGAAATTTGCAAATGAATACATGTAGCACCTTCCTACAGGTTTTTAAGTCTCTCTTTCTGTCTCCACCCAATCAAGTAAAAATATTCATTTTTAAATGAATAAATGCACTAAGTATGGTTTGTCTCTTTTCTTTCTTTCCCTCCCTCCCTCCCTGCCTTCCTGCCTGCCTTCCTTCCCACCTCCCTCCCTCCTGCCTTCCTTCCTTTTCTCTGTCTTTTCACTCTTTTGTCTCTTTCTCTCCTCTCCTCTCCTCTCCTCTCCTCTCCTCTCCCTCTTTCTTCCTCAATCCTGGCCTCAGGTATTGGTCTGTGAAGTGCAAAAGATACAAATACAATGCACTCCAGAAGTGAAAGCCACTCTGTACTGAGCCCCCTTTGCCTGGGTTGTGTTATTTCCTCCAGCCCCACAGACTGGTGGTGGCTCTGCCAAGCCCCAGTGAGTTACAGTGCTTTGCTGAGAGAAGCTGGGTGATCCAATGGACCAGGTTTCTGGAAGGTCCCATCACTGACAGGGTGGATCAGCTGGGGGTTGCAGAAAACAGCTGGGTGTCCCCAAACAGCTGCCTTTGTATCTGGCAACATAAACCATGTCCTGTAAACACCTTTATTGCCACCATTGGTCATTCCCTGGGCACAGTCACCATGAGAGGACTTAGCCATCCTATCTGGCAGCCCCAGCTAACACCTCTTGCTGCTGCAGGCCCAGACGGAGCAAGGCTGGCTATTGCTGAGGGTCTGCATGGCTGCACCGGGCCTGGTTGCCGACAGCTTCAGAAGCAACTCCCAGGTGAAGTGCAATACTGTTGTGGAGACACCACAGCATGCGTTTGGTAAAACAATGGTTTCACCAGGTAGCCCACCATGCCTGAGCAGCGCAGAGCATCTTCCCACACTTGCCTGGGATGGTTTCTCTCCCTGCAGAGGGGGACAGTAGTCACCCACAGCTACACAGTTGCAGTACCAAGGGGCAGACACACAAAATCTTAGGGAGGATTTGAGCCTGTGCCATGCCTGCAGTGTTTTACCAGTCACTTGGGAAAGGAGGACAAATTCTCCTTTTTGGCAAAGCCACCTCTGCAGTGAGGCAGAGAGGAGGGCGAGGGAGGGAGGTTCACCTTTCTCCCGCTCCAGCAGGCTGCTGGGTGCTGAGACTGCCAGGAAGGGTCACCCCATCACCTTCCACTGCAGTACTGGCACAGACACCATGACATGGGAAAAGGACAGAGAAAATTAGCTACTTTTAAAAAGCCCATTATCACCAATGGGTATAATGGTGCCCTCCTCCATGGCTGCAAAAGGACAGAGAGAGTAGTGTGTAGCTTTATGTGTTCATCATATATGGATCATGTTTTATTAATCTGCGCAAATACATTTATTTGTATGTCTTTAATCTACTTTCTAGTAGAATCCTTTATAGCATTTCAAGCTGATCACCATTTTTTCCCCTAATGTACTGGTGAGCACACAGGCAAACACTTTCTAAAAACACTTCTCCAACACATACGTTGAAATGTTCTTGTTTGTTACAACATTTCTGGGTGGCAGGAGTGCAGAGCCAAAGCATATCATTATTGGAATCTTCCAGTGTCTTGAGCATATGACTTCGTTTCTACCTTCATTTCGTGTGTGGGACTGTCTGCTGCTGAGCCAATGGGGGAAGAACTGTACATCTCCAGCTCCCCTCTAGCCAGAAGTCCCTTGAAGGGAATCGCCTCCAGACTTCTGGGGAATCTGTAGCATCGTGAAAAATACTGGCCCAGGTCTGTAAAACATGCAGATCACTTTTATCACTTTGGTGCATTGAGGAGGAGAGCTCTGGGCAAAACCCTGTTCTGGGCTGTCAGCAAGAGACTGAGGTACATAATTTCTAGTTTCCCTGAAAGAGACAGGGGTACATAGTTTCTAGTTTCCCTGAATGCAGCCAGTTTGCGAACGGGAAAATGAAGTTGAGATTCCTTCCTACAAATAAAGCAAGATACAAAACCGAACTGGTGCCTGTATTTTGCATGCCAGGGAGTGAATTTCTTTCATGTGACTGTGTGGGGCCAGTTCTGCTGCCTTCCCCCATCCAGCAGCTTGTTGGCTGGGTGCCTTATCCTGCAGCTGCCCTGGCCCTGAGGTGCATCCTCAGCACTGGAATGAGAAGGGTATTTGAGGAAGGGTGACTAGGACAGAGGTGGGGAGATGTGTCAGTATTGGTTGACAAAAGTGAACCTCTTGCTTCCCCCACTTGCTGTTTACTTGGAGGGGAGGACAGGAGATACATCATGACTTTCTGGATGTCTAGCTTATTTAAAGAATCAGATGAAAACTGAAAATATCATAAACTTGTAGGGCAAACCCACTGCAGATCACTCCAGCCCCTTTAATCCTGCTGCCCAAATGAGGAGCTGGGTGAGGCACTGGTACAGTCTGTGAGGAGAGACCAGGTCATTCCTAGAGGAGGCTGTCCATTTCAACAACTGCCTGCCTTTTTCCCATGATGTTGCTAATAGAAGAACGTGCCTCTCCCCCTCTGGAAGGGAGAAGTGGAGTCAAGGTTGCCTTCTGCATGGGCCTGGAGGGGGTCTATTTCTGCTTTGCTGTTCAACAGAAAAATTCTCCAGACAAGAAAGCAAGAAAGCCCAAAAGGTTAGATGGCAAGAAAGGTTAGAAGGGACTTTCAGAAGCTACAGAAAACATCTGATCTTTTTGTCTTGCTCTAGTTTTTAACATAAGCAGATTTTTTTTTTTTAATATAGCTCCTCCCTGCGCCAGGCTGCCGTGATGCCCACTGCCAGCAAGGGCCTGGTAGACCCAGGTGTCCAAGACAGCTCTGTGCCATGTTGAGCCGCTGTATCAGCCCTGGCAAAGGTCAATCAACCCTCGATGGCTGCTTTAACTCTTTTTGCCAGAAAGACTTCTTTCTCCTACAAGTCTGGTGGCCAAAGAACTTTTTATTCATTTTCTCAATGGCACTTCACCCACACCCTCTGCCCACGGGCCCTGGGCCTCCAGTTAAGCTCAGGACTGGGCCTTCAGTCCCTGCCTGAACTGTGCTGTAGCTGTGCCTGTCTTCAGCTCAGCCACAGCCACGTCTATGCCTGGCCACGGCACAGACCCTGACCTGCAAACTGACTTGCCCGCTGGACCTCAGACCTGCCTGGTGATCGCTGGGCCCAATCCTGACCTATGGATGGACTTCCCAGCTTGGCCTTGGACCTGCCTCCCCATCACAGTCCTGCTTGATGATCCGGACCCTCCGGTGCACCCAGCCACCGTCCCCAGTCCGCCCCTGCACCTCCCTGGGGCAGTGTGGGGCTCAGCCCTGCCCTGCCAGCTGCATATCGCACACAGTCCCGTCCTTTCGGGAGCCGGTGGAGTTACCAGCTTAGGGACAGGGAGAGGTCACAGGTGTTGGTCCTGTCCTCTGTGGGACAGCTCTGTGTATGTCTTGGATGCAAGAGATCAGCTTGGAAAAGCTCTTTCAGCAATCACTATTCAAATATAAGCTGCATAGACTTGTTTGAAAACCTGTTATCAAATATTTTCCTCACTGTAGTCCCAAGAAAATATGCC